TGGCTTTTTTCCAAGAAGGCAAAGGAATTTGTAGACCCTAACTTTGTTCCTGGTGAATCTTCCACACCTAAGGATGAAGGCACTGTAATGATGGAACTTATCACTGAGTGGAGAGCATCTATGCTAGAAGATCACGTAATTGAGGTAACTGCCCCCTCTCCCTCTGTACATATCCCATCAGAACCCCTTATTCTTGTTTCACCCAAATCCCCCTCTGTGCAAAAACTCCCAACACCACAGCAGAGCACCTCCTCACCTCAACAGAAAACCCCCACCCCCAAATCCAAATCCAAACCCTCCTCACCCTGCAAACAGATTACCCCAACAAAGAACAGATCTCCTTCTCCTCCCCCATCTCCTCAACGCCAGATTATTCCAACCCAACCTCAACAGATTACCTCTTCATCTCAACCAGCTCGACAGAAATCCCCCACGCCTCAAAAGTCTGAGCACCAGAATGCCAAACTGGTTTCCCCTCCACCACAACAACTTCCAACTCAGCAAAAACCAGTCTGGTACCTGAGATCCTCTGATCCTACAACTGTCTCTCCTGTTTCTGCACCCCAAGACTATTCTAGGCATTCAACTGCCTCCAATCCTTCTTTTCGCAGAAAGAAAAAGGTGATCAGAAACAGAATCCATATTTACTCTTCTTATGAGGATTCCTCTGACATGGATGGATTCATTGTCAGCCACCCCCCAACAAAGCAACCTCTAAAAGGAAGAAGATCCCCCCTCTGACTCAACTAGAGCTTGAAATGCATGTACAATCTCTCTCCTCTGTCCAAGAACATCACCCTATGCCTAAGGGAAGAGACTTAGAGATGCCTAACTCTACTAGACAAGAGAATAAGATTCCCTTCAATGACTTTGTGACAGCAGCAGAAGACTTTGGTGGACAAATGCTGGATGGAACGAACAAGCTTGTCCTCATCAATGATAAACATTTTGAGCATCTGACCCAAGTGGATGCAACCATTGAATCTGGCTTCAAACACCTATCCGACACCCTAGCAACCTCCCTGCAGAACTTCATGACCTCATCCAATGCAAAGGTTGATGCCATCTCCAATTAAGTAGACACTATCAAGACTGTTCTCACCTCAATGAATCAAACTCTGAATTCACAGCATGTCACCCTTACCTCCCTATCTCAAGCTGTTGATTCCCTACAGAGGTCTGATCTTCAAGTCCAAGAGAACCTCAAGGGCCTTCACATTCTTTGCAGAGAACACTCAGACCAAGGCAAGCTCCTCCTAGCAGCTGACAAAGAAAGGTATCAGAAGATGGTCCTTTTGGAAGCCAGTAACAAAGATATCCTCTCTGCCATTCAGAAGCAGCAAGGATTGATAGAGGGACTAACCTCTGTTACTCAAACTCTGCCAGAAACACTTGAATAGATTGCTTCTACTCAAGCTTCAGAGTTCCATAAGCTTTCCTTATTGATTGGCGATCTAAATGATGCCAAAAAGGGGGAAGAGGACCCTAAGCCTCGTTCCACCAGAACTCCTGCAAGAGCAACCCCTTCTGGTGAACCAGTTGTTGACCCTGCACCATACTTTCAAGCTGCCATTCAGAAGAAGAGGTTAGCCGGCATTCCTAGACCTCCATCTCCACAGAAGAAATGCTCCAAGAAGAAGAAGATCCTAAGCTTCACAGATTGGAGACTGGGTGGATCTCAAAGGATTGATAAATCACAATTTGATGAGATGAAACAAAAAATGACTCCCACTCAGCAGCAGAACCTGTATCTTGACAGAGATGGCCTTGTAAAGGTCAGACATGGTGGTTCCTTGGAAGAAGCTGAATTTTGGTATCTCAACAAAATTCTTCCGGGAAAGGACATTCATGAAGGTGTCCTGAGTTATCTGGACTGCAAGCTCTCACCTATCTGGGCTTCACATCAGAGCACTGGCAATCTAGTAGGAATCAGAGAAGATGTCAACACAGAGCTAAAGAGATTACAAGATTTGGACGATCAAGCCTTAGCTGCAGCTGAAAGTGAGAATTTGTAAAGGAATATCCTTGTAAACCTTTTCCTTAATAAAAGAACATCTCTGCCTTTCAATTTGTAAGGCAATTACTCCTTATCTGTTCTTACTGTCTGCTTTGTATGTTTATCTTCTCAATTCTGTTTATCTTGTTTTATTATCTGCTATCTTGAATGTACTATACTCTTACTATTCTCCTATGCTAAGTTTCCCACCAAGATTGTAATGAAAGTTTTAAACTTTAACTCTTTTATGGTGAAGGCACTTCTCTGGAAATAGTTAAAGGGTTTTGGCATCATAAAAAAGGGGGAAATTGTACGGAATAATTGTAATTAGATTTTGATGATGCTATAGGACTTTAGAAAGTACCCCTTTAGAAAATTGTATTAGAATTTTCTTTGTAATTGTTTTAGTATAATCGACTGACAGAAGACCTCCAGACAGGAGCCCGTTGGCCCTCTGGTGATTGTTCCTTGACAGAAGGCCTCCTGACTCTCTGTTGGACTTCACTAGAACATGAGTACTTAGGTCCTCTGTTGGCTCTTATCTTGACAAAAGGACTGAAGACCCTCTGGTGACTCACATTTCAACAGAAGTGCTCATGACCCCTTCTGGTTGACTATCTGCTGAAGATAACAGAAGGCCTGACACTTAGAGAATTTTCATGAAACTCTTCAACCGGTGAAACCAACGGAAGATTCCCTCAACGGCTAGAAGACTTCAACGGAAAAGCTATAGTACGCGCATTAAATGCACATTTAATTCACCCCGTACCCTGAAGAGTAAAAGTTGATGATTGGACGGCATCCAGGTTATTTCAGGATAACTTTATCCCAAACTAGCAACTCGCCAACTTTCCTGTGTCCTACTGGTCAAGTCAACTGTTCGCGCATTTAATGCATTGTCCTCCTCCTCCAACGGGAAGACAACCCACGTATAAAAGATACTCTACGAAGAACTTTTGAAATGATCTTTTGCTACATCCTTTGCTGAACACCTGCTCACAAAAAACCTTCAAGAATTAAAAATCAAAAAAGCCTTCTTGAGACGAAAACCTCATCATCTTCTACAAGAGAAGGCAGACGTTGGAAAGATTATTTACTCAAGAACTCTTCTCCAACGAGAAGGACGAATCTATTGTACCTAACTAACTAACTACTATTAGTACTATCTCGTGTGTCAGTTAATAGTTATCAATACAGTTCCTGGTCTATAAATACTATGTAAATCTAAACTATCCAGATCAATAATATTCAAATCATTCTTCTATCTTTCTGTTGCATTCTGTTTATCAATAACAAGTGATGGTCGGCGCTGAAATCAGGTGACGATGAAGGCAGGTATCGGCTAGGAAGGTTGGTGTCGGCGATTAATGTGAAGAGCAAGTGTGGAGAAGCCAGGGTCAAAAGGGAAACTCCGATAAATGGATGTTTGTATCGTAAGGACAACTAAAAACGAGCTGAATGAATAAGTCAGGAAAGGTCTGAGCGAATAAGTCACATTTTATATTAAGTCCTAAGTAAACATGAACATATAGCTGAGCGAATAAGTCACGATTTCTATTAAGCCCATTAATTCAAAAATAAACAGGCCCTTAGAGTCATTCGTGATTATCAACAATATACATACATTTCTTATCATTTCTTATCCTCATATTTTGATGTTAACTGAATCGAAACATGAACGTAAACATCACTGATTCTTTATAATGTATGAATATTATGTAAGGTAACATTAATTTTTACTTTAAAAGAAATTAAATTACAAAAAGTACCGAATATAGGAGACTTTTAGAGAGATGAACTCGGGTCAAGATTTAACTACTTTTGTTATACTCCGTATTGATTACTTTACTTCAAAATGAAGTATTACTATCGTATAATGTAAGAAGGAAGGGAGACATGGTTCTAAATTTAGTTAGACTTACATCTCCAATGTTAAAATGTACACGGTGCACATGTGGCATGAAAGATGACCACATAAATATTGGTAAATAAATTATCTCTCTCCTTATTTGAATGATCTTATTCAATTTTGGTAATTTTTTTAACAATGTCAACTACAATGTCTACATCTAGACGGTCTCTTTGACATTGTAGAGAAAAACTTACCAAAATTGTATAAAATCATTTAAATAAGGAGATAGATAATTTATTTACAAATATATATTTATGTGGTTATCTCACATGTCACATGTGCACCGTGTAGATTGTAGCATCGGAGATGCTCTTAGCATCGACCCCTGGAATAACAATCCCTCAGTTACTTTGCGTATTACTTTTTTATTGTCACAAAAATTTAATCACCTTGCAATTAATTTAAGCTTATATAAATTGTTGTCAATTCCACGTTTAGTTCACGCCTTTGATTTTGATCATTTTTTGTACTTAATGAATACTAGTATATCTTTATCATTTGTGGTCCTTTTCCAACGATTTTAACCACCGGAAATATTGAAGGAAAAAAATGGAAGGACAGAAATGAGTGAGATCACAATTGACATGTGTCAGAAGTGGTCAAGCACGTGGACGAAAATATCACGATACTTATAGGACCAAAAGTGAAATCAATAATCAATCACACAATTTGTATTTTTCTAATTTGTCAACTAATTTGAAGTTGACAATTTCGAATAAAGCATCAAAGCGAAGGTATTACACGATTTAAGTAGCCGTGTTTTTATATTTTACATATAGCCAAGCCAAAATGATGGAGCGTGCATTTAAGGTGAGACTATGAGAAAAGATGGGCGACGACGGGGTCAACGCTGCAGCGCATTGAAGTGTGAACGTGGAAAGCGCGCAGTAGAAAATAACAGCGCGCGGTTGACTCGGGAGCCACCAAACTAAAGCAGCGGAGTATGGACGGCGCCGATGTCGCCACGTAGGAATTTGCGGGCAGAGTGACGAGGCAAGTGGGGACGAGGAAAGGAATATGCCTGGGAGAGATGCCACCCCGATTGGCGTTAAATGCCACCGAGCTGAGTCAATCATTTCTCCCTCTAAAAATGAATGAATGCCACGCGTTATGAACGTTAAGTTACAGCAACACACTCTTCCATCTCCTCCCGGCCGTCGCCGCTCTACTCCGGCCTTGTGAATTAATCAATCATCTTTCTAATTAAGGTATGCATGCCTATATACCTTAATCTCATAGCTGCTATTCTTGATACTTACGCGCGCTCTTGTTATATATTTTCTCCGTATTTTTATATGTTATTGTTATTATTACTTTTGTTTAATTTTCCTTTTCCAAGAAGCTAGATTTTCAATTGTATGTTGGGACCTTTAATTATACGTACTTAGTATTTGATGTTAGTTTGTAAGGCCGGAAAATTTTGTGTTGTCCATGCATCCTCACAATTGCCTAGCTAGCTAAAATATACTCCCAAAATGATAATCTTGTATTTCCTTTTTGGGATGTTCTAAAATGATGGTCCTGTTTCCCTTTTTAGAAAGAAAGATGTGGTCCATATTATTTCACTTTATTATACTCAAATCTCAACCACAACTTTTACCTTTTCAATCACTTTATTAAAACTTGTGCCTAAAAGAAATGAGACTATCAAATTGGGACGGAGCGGAAATTAAAATGTTGCGATGAGGTCTTATTATTTATTTATAATTGAGTCGGTGATGAGGTCTGATTGGGTGATTGCATGATCATATTTTTATTCATTACTAATAATGGCCGCTCGCGATACATTTGTGGCGGTTTCATATTTTTATTCATTACTAATAATGGCCGCTCGCGATACATTTGTGGCGGTTTCATATTTTTATTCATTACTAATAATGGCCGCTCGCAAATGTTTTTTCAACTTTTAAAAGTAACACGAAAAATCCTAAGAATCCTGAACATACGCATTTGGTTCTTACTCCCACTGTACACAACAATAATAGGAGTATGACTTTAAATTTCCTACTTTCAGAAAAAAAGTTTAAATTTCCTAAATAGGACGATCTTTCCAATCCTACCCTTGATTTGTTTTAAAATAATTTAATCATTATTAAATAAAACATTAAAGTAATAATATAAATTTATTTATCATAAAAGTGTAAGAAAATAAAAGCCACGAAAATAAACATTAAATAAAATTTTTAATACTAAAAAAATTGAAAAATAAAAAATTATAATATTAAAAACTTAAAATTTTAAATAAAAAAATAAAAAACATAATAAAGAAAAAAAGATGCAGACCTCTACTACCGCCTCACAAACCTCTCAGCACCGCCAGCATGTGTCAATAATGTCATTTTGATGAAAGTTTTAGGGAAAAATTCGACATTTTTAAAGAGTAAAAATGTATTTTCATGGTATTTTCAGAGAAAAATAGGCATTTTTAACACAAAATGACATTTCTTCGCCAATCGTATGTGACAAAGGCTGCGCGAAAGGCATCCAGATTTTTTATGTTCTTTATCTATTTTTTTATTTATTTTTGATGTTTTTAATTTTTAATTTTTTAAATTTTTTAACTATTATTATTTTATTAATTTTTAAAAAAATAGTTTTGAGTTTTAAATAGTTTTTACTATTTTATTATAAATTAGAATATTTTTATGGTCTTTATATTTTTACTATTAAGTTATGATAATGATAGAATAGGGAAATAGAGTATACTTTACTCCTATTTTGGAAATTTAAACAACATAATCCTATTTTACATCACTGCTATTTACTACAGAGTACTGCGGAAAAGTAATAGTTCTTGTTTTCAAAAAGGTATGTATACCCATGTATTTTGAAGAAATAATACTACGTATCTAATACGATAATACTACGTATATTACCAAGGTAAGGATAGAGAACAAAAATGTAACTTGGTAAGTTTTAATAGTTATAATTATGTTCAACTTTTACATCATAGTAACTATGAAAGAATATATATAATCATTTTAGTCACAATTTTATCACGTGTTTTACTTGAGTAATATTTTAGGAAAAATCTTTTTTTTTTGTAGTTAAATTGATTTGATAAAATTTGGAGTTGGCTTCTTATCGGTCGCGTACAGGGGCGGATTCAGGAATGAAGAGTGGGGTGGGCTTAGCAGGAAAAAAATTGTTATTGCAAATAAAAAGTTTAGCTTAGGCTGCTTAGGGCCGTAATCGAATTGAGTTTTTTTCGAACTACGCGAATTCGAGCGTGATTTCGAATTTAATTTAGCGATCTGAGCTTAAGAAGCTTTTTTTAACTCGAACACGAGCTAGATTTTGAGTTCGAATAGTTGTTCAAGCTGAGTTCGAGCATAGTGGTATTCGGTTTGATCCGGACTCGAGTCTATCAATAACTCGTAAATTATAGGAATAAATTTTATTTCTTAAAATTTAAACATTTTCATTGCAATTTTTTTAAATATATTTGAACACTAAAAAATAGAGTTCATATATCTATTTTATTCAAGCCGAGTTTGAGCATAAATTAAATTAATAATCAAATAGAATTACATAACTATTAAATAAAACTAATGCACATGACTATGGGCTTTAAACAAAGATTGGACAGCCTTTTACTTTAAATAAGCCGAGTTCTCGGGATCATTTGTTCCCATGACTATGGGCTTTAAACAAAGTTTGGGGAGCCTTTTACTTTTAGAGCTTCTTAGAACAGTTCCTTGTAGACTTGGGGTGGGTTGAGTTTTAATTTTTGGGTGGGCTGAAAATTAAATCTCTTTCTATACTAACAAAAAAAATTGGGTTGAGCTGGGCTAGAGCCCACCCTAGGCCCTACATAGATCCGTCCATGGTCGCGTATATATAAGACAGTCTACTCGATTCGATTCGGAGACTCAATGGCTATGGCCGTATGGATCAGGAACAAAAGTTCTAGACATGTCGGGTATCTGAGTCGAGGCCCGTACCGGACCCACTGATAAGTCTATGCATAGGTGTTTCCCTCAAATTTAAAGTGTTGGTTTTAGTCAATACGCGTCGAGGCTTACTTTAAACGTCTGGCTTCTTTCTAAATGATATCATAAAAAGGAGATCTGCTTAGCTTAATCTTGCATAATCTAGTCTATATAATTAGCCCACCCTACTGCCCGTTAGTTTAGCTTTGCTAATTATGTAACCTTATTATATGGCCCGGTTTGACATTTAATGTTTTATTAGCTGTCAAAGTAATAAAGTTGTAGTTACAAAGTAAAAATCATCATCATATCATAAATTTAAAACTAAAGATTACATACTTTCTGATGGATAAGTGTACTCAGGGGTATCTATCCGAGGGGTTACTGCGGGGAGTAACTAGAGAGAAATCAGAGCAAGTAAGAGAGAGAATGTGTATTGAATATGTAAGTTAAGGCTTTAGAGTGTGGTTTACAACGGGGAAATGGGATGCTATTTATAGTAGTAATAAATACGAACAGGGGACACGTGTCAAGCATCCAACGGCCGAAGGGTCACATCACCAAGGTGGCACTGGCATTCGCATGTGGCCGCATTAAATGCGGCGGTTGGATGTGACATCGTACTTGGTACGGTGATTCAGACGCATGTGGAGGGGATATTATGCCGTAGAAAGTGCCCTCGGCCGTAGGTGACTAGCCGAGGGCTCTCCATGCCGGGGGCTCCTAGTGTCGAGGGCTCCTAAGTGCCGAGGGCTACTGTTTTCGCCGTTTCCTCCCAGTATTCCTGCTTGGTTGAAATAAACATTCTGTGAGAATTTGGAGCCCTCTGCCAAGGGGCCGAAGGCACCCCAGTGTGCACTGTGGGCCGCTTGGTACTCTGGGTGCTGTGACTTGGGCCTGTTGTGCTTCCTGGGCCTATTGGGCCTTTATTGGAGTAGTAGGAGTCTGTGGACCGGGGGTTCCCGGGCCATATACTCCATCACTTTCAATCCGGAGTATCCATTTTATTTGATAAAACTATTATTTCAAATATGGAATGGCCTCTTATCAAAGCATGATAAAGAAAGATTTACTTCTTATATTAGAAATTAGTTCAAATAGGACTAAAACTATGGCAAAAACCTAAAATAGGACTTGCTATGTTTTTATTCCAAAATAGGACCATATGAGTCCTATTGGAAACATACCTATTTTTGCATGCCATTCTTACCCTTCCATTAAATATGAATTACAAATAGTCAAAAGCCATAATTAAATATTTAATTCATAATAAATTCGAAAAAAATTCAAAAATTCGTAGAAATATAAGTAAAAAAATTATAAAAATTTTATAAAATAAAAAATTCATTTTTTTAAAATAATTTTATTTTTAAAAAAAATTAATAAAAAATAGTAAAACTCCATAAAAAAAAATAAAAAAATATGGATGCCTTTCCCACCGCCTGTACTACCTCCCAGCACCACCACCTCCGGCCGATGAAAAAAATGCAATTTTCCCAGAAAATGCCATTTTTTTCTGAAAATGCCAAAAAAGTGGCACATTTCTCTTTTCGAATGCCAACATTTTCATTTTTTTCTGCCATAAATATGGCATTCGTAATGAACTTGGCATTTTTTCCCCTGGTGACTGGAGGTGGTAGTGCTGAGGCGGCAGAGGCGGCGGCGATTTTTTTTTTAATTTTAATTTTTTTTTTAATTTTTTTTTTAATTTTTTTTTAATTTTATTTTAATTTTTTTAATTTTTTGAAAAAAAAATTAATTAAATTTTTAATATCGAAAATGTTTTTCTTAATTTTTTAGTATTTTTTACGAATTTTTATTATTTTCTATTATTTTATTAGGAATTAAAACATTTTAATAGCTATAAGGGTATAATTGTCCAAGATACACATAATTAGTCCTATGCAAACATAGTTTATTTTTTGGTCCTATTTGTGAAAAGTGGATGACTTTTAGTCCTATTTTGATAATTAACTCTTCTTATATACCTTTGTGGTGTAATCTTTCCCCGAAACCTTGCCTTATACGGATGCCTTCATGCACCGGACTACCCTTTTCTGTTGACTTAAAAATAGCATCCTTAGAGACATCAGGACCTTACATGTCCCTCCTCGGTCTTCTTAATTAGATCATATATAAATTACTCCAGACTAAAATTATGACAAAAACTCAAAATAGGACTTACTGTATTTTTGTTTTTAAAATAGGACCATATTAGTCCTATTGGAAACATACATATTTTTTCATTCCATTCTTACTCTTCCTTTAAATATGAGTTAATTAAATATTTAATTCAAAAAAAATTCAAAAACAAAGTAGAAAAATAATTAAAAAAATTTAAAAAAAATTATCAAATAAAAAATTAAAAAAATATTTTTTTATTTTTTTTAAAAATTAATAAAAAATAGTAAAACTTCATAAAAAAATTAAAAAATATATGGATGCCTTTCCCACCGCCTGCACTACCTCCCTGCACCACCATCTCTGGTCGGTGAAAAAAATGCCATTTTTCCTAAAAACTGCCATTTTTTCTGAAAATGCCAAAAACATGGCATATTTCTCTTTGAGAATGCCAACATTTTCATTGTTTTCTGCCATAAATATGGCGTTCGTAATGAACTTGGCATTTTCTTTCCCTGGTGACGGGAAGTCGTGGTGCAGAGGCGGCGGTGAATTTTATTTTATTTTATTGAGTTTTTTATTTTTTTAAAAAAAAAATTGAAAACAAATATAAGTAAATTATTATTATCGAAATATTTTTATATTTTTTAGTATTTTGTACGAATTTTTATTATTTTTTACTACCTCCGTCCCAAAATTAACTTCTCATTTCGAATTACGATACTTGACCGATGATAAAGCAACTCGATCCCTATTCATACTCAGATTACTTTTTGTAAATAAAATTTACATATTGAGAAACTACATTAAAACCGCTACAAAGGCTGATAAAAAAATATAAATTTGATAAAAATTTGATTTATAAAACATAAGATTAAAAGTAATTTAAGTTGACCATGTGAATAATGACTGTGAAGTTCATTTTGGGACGGAGGGAGTATTATTTTATTATGAATTAAAACATTTCAATAGCTATAAGGGTATATTTGTCCAAGACACACAAAATTAGTCCTATGAAAACATAGTTTATTTTTTTGTCGTATTTGTGCAAAGTGAGTGACTTTTAGTCCTATTTTGATAATTAACCCGGCCCAAAACATTTCTCTATTTATATATGCACTCCCACAGCTACAAACATGACTTTTGTAACAACGTACACATTTGGAGCTAGTGAGCAGTGGCTTGCCTTTTACTTGTTCATTCACAATTATATTCATAATTTTATACAAGTACCAAACAAACCCAATATCAATGATGGGTCACGTCCATACATATACATATATATATATTTCCATAATCTAGCTTCTATGGGTGTTACAAGTTAGGACTTGTTTAATCTTGTTTGCAGGAAGCAAAAGTGCATATTTGTTGAGGAGCGAGCGATGGCAAGGGATCAACTGCAAGTGCTGAGTGCACTTGATTTGGCCAAAACCCAATGGTACCACTTCACGGCGATTGTGATTGCTGGCATGGGCTTCTTCACGGATGCCTATGACCTTTTCTGCATCTCCTTGGTCACCAAATTGCTGGGCCGGATCTACTACCACGTCGACGGCGCGCCCAAACCCGGCACTCTCCCACCCAACGTAGCCGCGGCCGTCAACGGCGTCGCCTTCTGTGGGACCCTCGCCGGGCAGTTGTTCTTCGGGTGGCTTGGGGATAAACTGGGGAGAAAGAAAGTGTACGGAATGACCCTCATGCTCATGGTCATTTGCTCTGTCGCTTCCGGTCTCTCCTTTGGTCACTCGCCTAAGAGTGTCATGGCCACGCTCTGCTTCTTCCGCTTCTGGTTGGGCTTCGGCATCGGCGGTGACTACCCTCTCTCCGCCACCATCATGTCAGAGTACGCCAACAAGAAGACTCGGGGTGCCTTCATCGCCGCCGTGTTTGCCATGCAAGGTTTCGGGATTCTCGCCGGCGGCGCAGTCGCCATCATCGTCTCCACATCTTTCAAGACCGCATTCCCTGCCCCCATATACAAAGACAACCCTTTAGCTTCCACTGTTTCTCAAGCAGATTACGTGTGGCGTATAATCGTCATGTTCGGCGCCCTCCCAGCCGCGCTCACTTACTACTGGCGCATGAAGATGCCGGAAACCGCTCGTTACACCGCCTTGGTTGCCAAGAACGCAAAACAGGCGGCGTCGGACATGTCCAAGGTCATGCAGGTTGAAATACAAGCAGAGCAACAGAATGCCGGTGTGGGTGTTCAAGATAAGGTGCAGGGGAACGAGTTCGGGTTGTTTTCCAAAGCATTCCTTCGCCGCCACGGCCTTCACCTGGTGGGAACAGCCACGACATGGTTCTTGCTGGACATTGCGTTTTACAGCCAAAACTTATTCCAGAAGGACATTTTCTCGGCAATCGGATGGATTCCGAAACCGGACACGATGAACGCGCTTGAAGAGGTGTACAGAATCGCCAGAGCCCAGACACTGATCGCCCTCTGCAGCACAGTTCCAGGGTACTGGTTCACAGTGGCATTGATCGACAAAATGGGGAGATTCACCATCCAGCTGATGGGTTTCTTCTTCATGACGGTTTTCATGTTTGCGTTGGCCATCCCGTACAACCACTGGACGCACAAGGACAACAGAATCGGGTTCGTGATCATGTACTCGCTGACTTTCTTCTTTGCGAATTTTGGCCCAAATGCCACCACCTTCGTGGTTCCCGCGGAGATATTCCCGGCAAGGCTGAGGTCTACATGTCACGGCATCTCGGCAGCAGCTGGGAAGGCGGGGGCAATGGTGGGGGCGTTCGGGTTCTTGTACGCTGCCCAGCCGACAGACCCGAAGAAGACGGATGCGGGGTACCCTCCCGGGATCGGGGTTAGGAACTCGCTCATAGTGCTGGGATGCATTAACTTCTTGGGCATTCTGTTCACGTTGCTGGTGCCGGAATCCAAGGGGAAATCGCTGGAGGAGATGTCCAAAGAGAATGAGAGGGAGGAAGATGATGGGAATGAAATGGAGATGAGAACACACACCAAGACTATTCCGCTTTAATTTTACTTTCTTAATCATAACCCCAATAATTCTCAATGATTATGTGTTAAAGGTTTAAGGTAGTGTACCATATATACTTCATGCTGGCTTACAACTTTGGCTATCTTTTAATTTTATACGGAGTACTGACTACTGAGCAATATATTTCTAATTAAGATACTAAATATATATATGGCTTTCTTGATAAGGATTGAATTAGTGATCCCCAATCCTCGGATGATGCACCCAAAACACTGCACATATCCTAAATTCCGGTGATGTTTGAACATATCAGATGATGGCTCTTGGTATACAATGGTCAATGCACTTTACAAAGTTTTGTAATTGAAGTTGGTAAGCTCCTATTTTATATGGCAATGTTGCCTAGCTTTATTTAAGCAACCAAATGATGTTACTCCCTCCGTCCCTAAATTATCTTCAAACTTTCCTTTTTCGTCCGTCCCAAAATTATCTCCTCTTCCCCCTTTTAGCAAAAAATTTGTGGTTCACAACCATTCTTACACATTCTTACACATTTCTCTCTCCTCTGCACAACTCTCCACCACACAAATCCCACTATCTTAATAAATGTGCCCAGCCGAAAAGGGAGAAAGATTAGGGACGGAGGGAGTATATTTTTTGAAATCAAGGGTTTGTATTCAAATGCTTCACCCATGGTTTAAAAGTATGAGAAAAGATTATTGTTGGGCCGCAAATAATTGGGCCTGGAGGATAAACTGACATGATGAGTGAATGGGCTGTCCGGCAACTTGCAAGTCTGTAATTAGAGCCCGGTCAAATTAATTAGGATGCGGAGTGGATAAGAATGACTAAAAGCTTGTAGAGAAAGTAGAGGAACAACTTCCGCATCAGTAGGAAGGGCTAACATTTCGCTCAGCAATTGAACCCATGTGGAGAGGATAGATTTATTATTTTATTTAAATAGACGAGCAATGAGGAAAAACAGGGGAGGATGAACTAGAAAAAAATAGTCTTACTTTAATTCCTTGCATACAGAGCACATTCATTCTGGTATTCATCTTGAGATTCAACGATATTAATTCAATCGTTGATTATTAGTTCTTTGAATAGTCTCTTGTACGATTCCCTATCTCACAATTAGATTGTTATTAGAATAATTATTTTCTGCTTAAACAATTTGGCGCCCACCGTGAGGCATCGTGCAAGAGAAAGATCGATCATGGCTGGAACAAATCAATTGTTGATTGAATTTCATAAACAACTAGAAACGGCAAAAGAGGAAATCCGACGTGAGATGGCGGAACAAACAGCCCACATTCAACGGGAGAATGACGTTCTTCGTTCACAGGTGCAGTCAGAGGTGTCGATAGCTTCAAACTCCATGATTAACCGGAGGAGAGACACCAAGACTATCGCCACGAAACTGGATCTTGGTTTCACCCCGGCGGTGACGGATCCACCTGCAACGATGACGGATCACCTCTCCCTCACACTAGGCCTGTCGCCAACTGGAGAACTTCAATCAACGGTCATCTCACAGCTCATCCCTTATACACCTCTCGTCCCTGAGATAACTCCTGCTCCCAGCATACCAACTTTCTTTTTTTCGGAGTCCCTTCGACCCGGGCCAAGGACGATGGGCCTGCACTCGGCCACTCAAAGCTTACTGATGTCTTCTGTTGTGCTGGCCCTGACGGAACCCTTCATTCCTCACTACAGAGACAGGACCTTTGCAGATCTAGGCTCGTCCGGTTTCACGCAGAACTCCAGACGGAACATCCTTGATGAGCTGCTACCTGAACCACAGACACAACGTCCACATAGGCCCATCACTTCGATGGATCCAAGTCGTGGTGGACAACGTCGGGAAGTCATAATCATTCCGTCACCAACCCGGTCTGAAGCGACTCAGATGGCAGGACCAACAGTTTCAACGGTGGAACTACTTCAACCAGGCCTGGCGAACCCGATGTCAATGATAATGGACCAGCTACGACAAATGCAGGAGAGAATCAATGTGATTCCTGGAGTTCCCCCTCCACTTGACATAGCGTCTCAAACGTGTTATGAAGATTCACCTTTTGACGGTTCGATCATGCGTCTCGAACTGCCAAATAAATTTGACGTACCAACCATGGAGCCATTTGACGAAACTGCGGGCCCTGGAGAACATGTCGCGCGATATAAGCAATTTATGTCAACCGTCTCCGTTAGACATGAGCAGAAAGAGGCATGTATGTGTCGTAGATTTGCCATGACATTGACCGGTCCTGCTTTGACATGGTTCGTCAATCTTACGATTGGGAGCGTCGGTTCGTTTGCCGAACTTGTCAATCTTTTCAATCGACAGTTCGCGAGTAGTAAGGTATTGGAAAGATGGACCAGTGAATTGTATCAAGTCATACAGAGGCATGAAGAATCCCTTAGAGATTATTTGCACAGATTCAACAAAAGGAAGGTGTCGATCCCAAAGTGTGACGTCTCTACCGTCATTGAAGCATTCAGAAGAGGTTTGTATGAAGATTCGGAGCTGTATCGTGAACTGACGAAATACCCTTGTCGATCCTTCGAAGATGTCCAAGCGAAGACGTTGGCTTTCATCCATCTAGAAGAAGACTTACAATCCCGTCGCAGACAAATTGAGTATGAAGGGGGGCACGGGAAATCAGAATCTCCTAGGAGGCATAATTACAAATCTGGAAAACCTTATTCAAGACCTGAGGAATGAGTCATCACGCCATGACGAGATGGACAAGACAAGTTGATTAAAATCTCGGATGGGGGGCATGTCGTCCGACGGTAGATAGTTTCTAAAGAGCTGCAATACGATACCTTTAAAGTTGTTTCATTATTAATTTATTACTTTCTTTTGCATACTGTCATCACTTCCATGACGAGTCACTCCCGTGACGAGTCACTTCCCTGATGATTCACTTTCGTGACGATTCACTTCCGCGACGAGTCACTTCCTTGATGAGATGATTAGAATCGTGAGACAGGGGGCATATCATATACATATTTTTAATTTATTACTTTCATTTATCCATAAACAATCACTAACTTAAGCATCGAAGGGCCATTGGCTTCTAGCCAACGGTCGACGTTAGCGGATTCTTTTTTACGCAGGAACAATCGACAATTGACAATGACAAAATCCTAACATACATCAAATAAAGCCTTACAAAAGCGTCAAAACACAATTGACGGGGGGCTTACAGAATCTTAGGGGAAGAAGTGGAGTTTTCATGTACGCTAAACATGAGTATAAACACCACCGATTCTCCTCATTGTTTTGGCCAAAACTAAAGAAATATACAACAGAAGTATGTGCTCCAAGAGCATGACAACACAAGCTCCAAAACTATACATAAAAACACACTTCAATTGACGTCGACACGAATGACATTGACACAAACGACATCGATACGAATGACATAGTAACAAACAATCATTCTGAAGTTGATGATATTACTCTAAATATACAAACGAAATTTTGTTTAAAGTTTTTGCAAGATACGGTCACACCCACAGAGACAAACTTGTCGTCACCCTTGTCAACTGAAGCGTCAACATCAACATGGATGAAGTTTCAACTCGTCAGCACTGCCTAGTTATGATCATTAGCACAAATTTGGAGGAAGAGGATAGGAGATCAGCCTTCGTTCTTCGTCGCTTCAGTCAAAGAGATGGATTCGATCAAAAACTACTTGTAAGGAAAGTGACAAGTTGACGAAGCGTCTCGTCATACGGGTGACGGGTTGACGACATGTCTTGTCAAACTGATAACGAATCTATAAGTGAAATAATCAAGTATGACCAATATAAATTCTTTCAAGATTTCGACAAGTTACTGCTTAACAGGTTGACATTTGTACCCCTACGCATTAACTTCTCGAAAGGGGGCAATTGTTGGGCTGCAAATAATTTGGCCTGGAGGATAAATTGACATGATGAGTGAATGGGCTGTCCGGCAACTTGCAAGTCTGTAATTAGAGCCCGGTCAAATTAATTAGGATGCGGAGTGGATAAGAATGCCTAAAAGCTTGTGGAGAAAGTAGAGGAACGACTTCCGCATCAGTGATCAGTAGGAAGGGCTAACATTTCGCTGAGCAGTTGAACCCACGTTGAGAGGATAGATTTATTATTTTATTTAAATAGACTAGCAATGAAGAAAAACGGAGGATAAACTAGAAAATAGTCTTACTTTAATTCTTTGCATACAGAGCACATTCATTCTTGTATTCATCTTAAGATTCAACAATATTAATTCAATCGTTGATTATTAGTTCTTTGAATAGTCTCTTGTACGATTCCCTATCACACAATTAGATTGTTATTAGAATAATTATTTTCTGCTTAAACAATTATCATGTAGCTACTTTCCATACATCCACCAGGAAGGTAGGAAAGCTTGACTGGTAATCATTTAGTGTGGATTTGTGTATAAAGAATGTGTTGTGCATAATTTTCTAAAGTTAAAAGGAAGAAAGAATGCTTTGTTTTCCTTGACGTTTCAAAAGATACCTCATGAAAGCAAAAGATACCTACCACACGGCGGAAAGGTGATTGTTCTCTTTTGTAATATTGTTTTCTTGCTATTGTTTTTTTGTTACATTCATTCAGCTCATTCACACAGTGGAGTGCAAATAATTTTGCTAATCAATCATTGTCTCAAGTTGGTACATTCAATATCAACTAAAAACTCACAAGCATTTTAGTTAAAAACAGTTTATTTAATATTAAAAAATACCATATCCTCTCGTGTATTTAATTAACTGTGTTATAATAAATAAATGACTAAACAAATTCCATTTATGTTTTAGATGAATCTCTATTTAAATAATAATCCACAGGCATGGAAAACCAGGTAAAAACCAGCAAGCCATTGCTGATCTGTACCTCACGACTTCATCTGTCCAAGGCATCTACTAACATCAAAACAATACAATAACATATGTTAAACCTGCATATACAAGGGTATGTTTGGAGGAAGCGTACAGGGAGGGAGTGTTCTTGTGTTAATTTATATGATCTAGCTGAAGTGTAGAGGGGAGGAAAATAAAGTTAAGTTTTGGTCTAGGCCTTCCCTGCAAAACCCCATAATCGGAAGGGGCCAAAAACAGGAGCCGGGGGGCTCTAACCCTTCTAAAAAAAATTAATCAAATGAAGGGAGGGGTTCAGTTAGTAACTTTTCCTCCATTTTATCCCCTAGTTCCCCTAAAGAAACCTCTTACCCAATATACCAAATTAAAATCAAAGAAACGAACTCTGCACCCAAAATGACTACATGTCAAGTGTAAAATAAATTGTTTGGTAAAGTGTGTAATACATTTTTAGATTACAAGTAAAGCATTTGCCTTGTTTAATCTTAACCGTGTAACATACTTTAATTTACCACACCCAAGTAAAATGTTTTAACATGTTACAGTTGAAAATATTTAGGAAAGTTTTAGCCTTGTAATTCCACCTTTTATGTTATGCTTATAGCAGTACTACCTTTCACATTCTTTAAAATAGTCCAAACATTCTTCTTCTCTGATTGCAGTCCACACAAAAAAATTAGAGGATTGATGGTTTGTTAAAGTAGTTTCACACTAAAAATGACTAGAGTTTGGAAGGGTTTGATTAACAGGCAAAAAAAAAAGTTGGATTAATAGAAACAATTTTTCGAATATTAAAAAAATAATGTTCTACGATTTAAAATTATTTAATCAAAATCAAACAATGTAAAATCTTTGGTTCCCTACATTTTGCATGCAAAGTGTTTACTTCACAACTTACCAAACACCCTCTAAGGTCAACTAGCACAAGATAAGGAAGAAAATTTATAAGTTGTCCATACCATTTATGCTTGACATATCATCATCTTCCGATTCCTTTAGCTTTTGAAGTTTGAGCTCATAGGATTTGTGATCCTCAAAAGATGTTCTGCTGGAAGAAATTGAAATGGCTTCAGGAACGGAAAACGAATGTCTACTGCTACTACCAGTGGTATTCTGCTTCTTCATTGAAGAAGATTCTGCTGTAGAGTACAAGTCTTCATCCATTTTCGACCCCTCAACTTCATTCTTCTTCTGGCTTTGAAAATATTCTTTCACCTGCCTTTCCTCCTCTCCTGTAGGATTTGCTCTCTTTTTGTTCACAAGCCCATTATAAAGAGATGGAACTCTTTGATCACGAGACGAACTGCTGGGGCAAGTAGCGTTTGGAATGACCAAATTTCCATTACAATTGGAGTTTTCAAACACAACTTCATCTGCACCTCCAATTGGATTTTTTCCCCGCATGGTGAGTATAGCTTCGGTCAGACGTTCCCTTGCTACGTCCAAATCAACTATGGGTTTGGGATAGTTCAAACCTAGTTCAACACCAGCAGCCCTGAGCACACTAGAAGGTGCATCCCAAGGATGATGAATCCACTCCGTTGGCATTCTTGCAAGCTCGGGCAGCCATTGCCTCACATATTCACCCTCTGTATCAAAGTTGAACCCCTGGACCTGTCTCACAATTTCAGTAAAAAGATAACTTTCAGAAATCAACATATTAATGCCCTAGAATGAATTGTTTCAAAAATACACTTCATGTTTGCAATTTTAGCCACTTGTCTTTCAATATAGAAGAGGTTTAAAAAGACCTAAACGAATAAGTTAACATGGTGATAGGGGAAAAGTTTCTTTGTTTCAATTTGTTGTACTTTTCTTTCATACAAAACTAGAGTAAGTGAATAACTAACTGCTGCAATGTTCCTTGGATGCACCACCTTAGATGTAAATTTCTAATCCAAGACTAAGAGCTTGTTTGGGACCTCCAATTTAACTTGATGGTAAATTATAAAGAACATTATTATTCTTTATTAGCTATTTTTTATATCTAAATGAATATAATAATAATTCCTAAACCACATCTGGACTAAGAAGCACGGAAACTCCGTAGAGCTAACATTCCGCCGCTTCGGAAACTCAGAAACATTTCGAAACATCAAATTTTGGTTTAATGTCATGTGTGTAATCTAAACGAATTGGAATTTCTGTTCTCTAATTAATTAACAATTTAGAAATGTTTGGTCTTTGCTTTTTCTTTTCAAGTGATATTGTTAAAGTATTTGTCCCACACCGGAAAACTATAAAACAATAAAACACTATATAAGACTTCGGCTACTCCTTCTATCGGGTTGACCTTTTAGGATGAAACTCCGGGTCTTAACATTGTATTAGAGCCAAATTCGGTTGTGGTTTGACTGCTTATTTAGCATTCATGATTAAGGGTAGTTCGTTAAGGGTGTATTTGACCCATTTATACACCCCGATATTGTCCTGCCCGGTTCGGGCTGAGTTAAGTATTAAAATATATGTCCCACTTTTAATCTCACTTATTTAAAAGTAAGTGAGATTAAGAATAGTGAAATGAGATATAAATTATTGAGGGTATGATGGGAAGATAACGAAATAGTTGTAATAGAGTATTATTTCAAAATTATTGAGGGTATGATGGGAATATTTAGAAATGGGAAGATATGAATGTTACAGCTAAAAAGGGAAAGTGGGAAGATATGAATGTTATGGAGGAAGTATAAGACTTTGGACTACTCCTCCTATCATGTCCACCTTTTAGGGTGGAACCTCGAGTCTTAACAGATATCTTGATGATCAAAATTAGTATTTTTCATGAGATTTCTGGATGGACTTTTATGGGCTTCATGCCACACAATTTTTTTGACATTTCATTGAGCAGCACGTTGCTAGAAATTTATTTTATTATACATTTAATCATGTAAAAATATGTAAATAATGTCAAAATATGTAGACTATTTATTACTTTAATCATATGTAGTATGTCGATTCATGTTAGCCGACTCCGGGAATAAATCTTGAACATTGTTGTCATTGATGTTGATTATTAGAGCATCTCCGATGCTAAAACATTAACGGTGCATACGTGGCGTGAGAGATAACCAATTAGAAAATAATAAACAAAATATCTATCTCCTTATTTGAAGGATCTTAAATCATTTTGGTAAGTTTTTCTTCACAATGTCAAGCACAATGTCTAGATGTAGATATTGTGGTTGACATTGCATAGAAAAACTTACCAAAAAACACATAAGACGGTGAAAAGAAGGAGAGAGAAATGTCATAAAATCGATCTTTTGTCTCTCTCTCTCATGCCACATGTGCACCGCGCACATTGTAGCATTGGAGATGCTCTTATATAGCAAAGTAAATACGGAGTATGAAAAAATAAACATACATATATTTGGAAAGAGATTTATAAATGTATACCTATATTTATATGCTTGTGCTTGACTTTCGAGGAAAGAATCATAGAAGACAAGTTAAACAACAAGTGAAGCAAACGATAAAGTGGTGGAGGCTTGAGGGAGATCTTCAACAAAGCTTTACACACAAAATGGTCGGTGATGTATGGCATATTGATAATGAAACACATGTAGATGATGTGTGGTTATCAATGGAGTTGACCATTAACAAAGTGGCAAAAGAGGTACTTGGAGAATCTAAAGGATGTCTGCCACCTAAAAAGGACACGTCTTGGTGGAATGATGAGGTGAAACAAGCCATAAGAAACAAAAGAGATTGCTACAAAAAGTTGGGGACAAGTTGGAGTGATGAGAACATAGAAGCATACAAGGAGGCTAAAAGACAAGCAAAGAAAGCCGTGAGGGAAGCACGAGGGAAAGTGAACAAGGAGTTGTATGAAAAGTTGGACTCTAAGGAAGGAGAACTAGATATTTATAGACTTGCTCGTCTTCGTGATCGCAAGACTCTAGATATTGCAAAAGTTAAGTGTGTAAAGGATGTCGATCAAAGGATATTAATGGACGACGGAGAGATAAAAGAGAGGTGGAGGTCATACTTTGATACACTATTCAACGGGAACAAAATGCAAGATATCGGTGATTTGTCCATACCAGATTGTATGGTAAATCGTGATTTTGTGAGACGGATCCAAACAACGGAAGTTAAAGAAGCTCGGAGGAAGATGGGACGGAAGAAAGCAGTGGGTCCAGATGGCATACCGATCGAGGCTTGGAGAAGTTTGGGAGAGAGAGGCGTCGAGTGGTTAACAAGTTTCTTCAACATGATTTGGAGAAACAACAAGATGCCAACGAGTTGGAGGAAGAGTACTCTTATCCCCTTATTTAAGAATAAAGGTGATGTACAAGAATGTGCCAACTATCGAGGGATTAAGCTTATGAGTCACACCATGAAACTTTGGGAGCGAGTGATTGAGCAAAGACTTCGAAGAACTGTGAAGATTTCATAGAATCAATTCGGTTTTATGCCTGGTCGCTCAACAACTGAGGCCATTCACCTTCTTTGGCAACTTATGGAGAAGTATAGACACGCTCATAAGGATCTGCATTTGGTGTTCATTGACTTCGAAAAGGCATATGATAGGGTACCTCGAGAAGTTCTTTGGTGGGCCTTAACTAGGAAAGGCATATCACGCAAGTATATCAGCATCATCATGTATGCGGATTGTACTACAAGTGTCCGTATTAGTGTAGGAAGGACTGAAGAATTCCCTATTACTATCGGAGTGCACCAAGGATCGGCTCTGAGCCCTTTCTTATTTGCCATAGTCATGGATGAACTTACGAAGTCAATTCAAGACGATACAACGTGGTGCATGATGTTTGCCGACGATATTGTATTGATTGATGAGACGCAATAAGGTCTTAAAGCAAAGTTGGAAGTATGGCGACAAACATTGGAGAATAAGGGTTTCAAACTAAGTCGGAGCAAGACAAAGTACATGGAGTGCAAGTTTGGTGGAGGTAGAAGCAATGGTAATAGCGGAATTGCTCTGGATGGTAAGGAGATACCAGTCAGCGATATGTTCCGTTACTTGGGCTCCATAATTCAGAAAGACGGTGAATTAGATGGAGATGTATCTCATCGAATCAGAACAGGGTGGATGAAGTGGAAGAGTGCGTCAGGATTTCTATGCGATAGAGGTATGCCGACTAGACTGAAGGGTATGGCGTAGAGTGTTGGGTGGTGAAACAATGTCACATTCAAAAGATGAGTATGGTAGAGATGCGCATGCTGCGTTAGATGTGTGAGCATACTAGGAAGGACCGCGTGAGGAATGAGACAATCAGACAAAGGGTGGGAGTAGCACCTATTGAAGACAAGATGCGGGAGTCGCGTCTACGGTGGTTTGGTCATGTGCGTAGAAGACCGAGTGATGCACCTATCGGACGAGATGAGATGTGTGGAGAAGAGGCAGAGAAGAGAGGGAGACCCAAACAGACGTGGGTTAGGGGAGTTCGAAGTGATATGCTTCTTCTGGGGTTGGATGAGGGCATGACTTTGGAGAGAGCTAAGTGGAGGACGGGTATTCGTGTGGAGGAGTGATCTCGTATCATCTTTTTTCCTCATCTTTTTTCCTTGTTTTTTATCCTTATACATATAAGCATTATTTGTATCCTTTTTATTTTATCATTTTTATGTATATTCATCTCTTTTTATATTATCTTTTTATAATAGCTTATCTTTTTTATCTTTATTTCCTTTCTTTTCCTTTTGGTGGTGATATCATGTATCGATTCATGTTAGGCGACCCCAATATCTTTTGGGACTAAGGCTTGGATGTTGTTGTTGTTGTTGTATTGTTTCCGCCATGTTCGGCACCTTATATATATTTTTAGATACCGTCTCTCCCGTTTCTCGTTACACATTTTCCATTTCACCATTCCGTGTTACTTAGCATGTCAAGTGTCAACGAACATTTCACAAACAAAAATTGAATTAATGTAAAGTTTCAAGTTATCCCAAACATACCATTATTACTCTAAGCTGAATAGTTTTATTGCAATACACACAACCCACACGCATATTAACACATGAGGAAATTTAAAATACCTCTGGGCTATCTAGGCGCTCAAGTTCATGCCCATCTGGTAAGCTGCCAGATATATACTGCCACCCAAGAACATCAGTTTCCAAGTCTGCATCAAGTAGTGTATCCCAAAAATACTTCATCCCCCATTGCCATGGAAGAAGTAGAAATTTCACACAAAAACTCGAAACGATAACTCTTATCTTATTATGGATCCATCCGGTGGCCCAGAGCTCTCTCATTCCCGCATCAACTAAAGGATATCCTGTCCGACCCTGTCTCCAAGCCTTAAAATGGGTCTGATCGGCATTCCATGGGAAATACTGCAGGTTGCTCAGCAGTGACCTTTCATGTAGGAATGGGAAGTTAAAACATATGTAGCGGGAATACTCTCGAAGCCCAATAGCTTTTAGGAATAGAGTTGCACTGTCTCTTCCTGTTGAGTTCCCTTCTTTCGCCCAAACCAAACGCTTCATGTGCACACTATGGTAAACCTTTCTCACGCTTAACTCCCCGAAATGGAGATGAGGAGACAGGAGAGATGTGGTATTGCCTCCAACTCTATGGCGTTTCATTGAGTAGTCTAACAAGTGATGTTCTATGAAATCGGTTAGTGCATTATCGGCATTGCTCCATCCAGGTGACCATCCTCTTCCAAGTAAGGCATTACTGGACTTTTCTGTTTCATTTTCCAGGCCCAATTCCTCAATTGAGAACTTCCTAACTGAGCCTGTGAATAAACCAAAAATAAAATAATTATGTTTGACATTCATAGCTACATGAACATATGGGTAAAATTTTGTGATGAAGTTAACAATATTAAAATTTATGGTCAGGCCATAAGGTAATCTAACAAAGCCTTATATGTCGTCACAAGTAAATGGTTCTTTTGAGCAAACCAATCGTTAAGTATGCATGCTTGCTTTCAGACTTATTAGGATCGAATTGAGACCAACCGTGAAGTATGTATGCTTGCATTCAGACTTATTAGGATCAAGTTGCTAGTTTAAGCTTAATCAACTCAGGTACATTTATAAAACATGTCATGTTATCTATAAAAAATTAACGCAATAGGAGAAGTAACTTAAAACTTTATAGAAAGTACCTTGAGCTGGTGTTAATCGCCATGGAGGGAGATGTGAAACAGATTGTTCCTTAGTTTGGTGCAAACATTTCTGCCAAAATGCATCAAATTTGGTATAAACCTTTCCATCCTCGTTATAAACTTCCCACGGTTCATTCAACAACTCAGCATTATAGCTCTGTACAGAATAACCAAGCTCCTCTAACCTTTGTTTGATTTTGTGATCACGCACAACAGAAATGGGATCTGACAAAATGAAAGGCTTAGAGATATGAGAGGCCACACAAATTTGATGACTGGCCTTTTCTACAGACATCGTATTATGACCACACAAATTTGATGGCTTGGTGCTATACCAAAGTTAAACTCCGCCATGAGATCATTTTTTTGGTATCATGCCTGTCCCAAGCCAGGAAAAAGGAGGAGGGTGCTGTGGTAGGCGCGTGACGGCCAACAATATCACTTAGTCACATCACATGACATGAATCGAAATATGAATATCGCTATTGGCATCGATATCATAGATCGATTCATGTTAGCCGACCCCAAATTCTTTTGTGATTAAGGCTTGGATGTTGTTGTGGTGCTATACCAAAGTTGTTATAGGTAATTAGGCCAAAGCTAAGACTTTCATATGACTAGCTAAAATAGGATAGGATAGGACGTCTAAACCCTATACGATTAAAATTCCTACCAAATGTCGATTCAGTAAGGCTTATTAGGTTGAAGCTTTGTTGAATCTGCTAAATTTTCTCAATGGAAGAGCCCATTGGGTAAGGGCTATTTTGGATGAATGGTTGAAATTTCTCTGAAAAGGGTTTGGTAAGATCTGTTTCAATCAAATAATCAAATCAAAAGATACTGTAATTATTCTGCTAATGAAGAAAATATGTAACTTTTGAATACCCAATGCGATTAAGAGCCCGTTTGATAGTACCAAAATCAGGTCTATTGGATGATTCTGCTGAAATGTATGAAGTTCTGACTGAAGTGACTGATTCTGCTGATTTATGAAAAAATTATATTTAAAATCTATTTTATTAATAAAGTAAAGAAAAAATTATATGAAAAAATAATTAAATAGTCTTATACAGTAACTTCGGCCAATACAGCCAGAAAAGTAACTTCAACCTTACTTTTTCTTATTATTACACAATTAAGCGCGCGCAATCAAAAGTTAAGTGTTTGGTGAAAAAGTTGGCTGATAAGCCGAAAAACAGGGTTACCAAACGGGCTCAAAAAGTGTTTGATAAAATCTATTCCCCCGAAAATAAGTGTAAAGCTAGTTATTAGGCTCATAAAGCTGATAAGCTTGATAAGCTGAAAAACAGGGTTACCAAACGAGCTCAAAAGGTGTTTGATAAAATCTATTCCCCCGAAATAAGTGTAAAGCTAGTTATTAGGCTGATAAAGCTGATTAATCAGGTCATTGAGATTTCAAATGTAAGCCCATGAATCCTGCACACACCCACATTACAACATACTGTCGAAATTTCTGGAGCTGCAGTTGAAACTAAGCTGATATCAAGAAGCTGTCCTGCATGCTTCCTTTTTGAAAAAGTTTTATATTCTGGTTTCCAAAGTTACCTTAATTGTAGAACCAAAAAATGTGGTATTTCCACAGACCCAACATATAACAAATTACCAAACTCATTTCTAGTGAGCATCAAAATTTTCAACTATTGTAAACAAAAAAATAGGAATTTGAAATACCATAGAGATGATTATAGACAACTTTTGTTGCTTGAATAGAAGTGATGCATTGTAAGAGGGCATCAACGGTATTATCAGCTCTGATGAGCACCAATTCAGCTCCAAGGGACTGCAAAGACTGGTCCAAATGAATGAGAGACTGCTTGAGCCACCACCTTGAAACTCTTCCAGGGTAGAATTGTCCTTCTTCTTTGGGGCACCATATAAACACTGGGTATACACTCCCATCTCTGGCAGCAGTGGCTAAAGCAGGATTGTCCTCAATCCTCAAATCCCTCCTAAACCACACAATTGTTTTAACGTTTCTGCTCTCCATTCTGTTTCTAGAGCACAGTTTACATCCTTTAATTCAACTACGAAGTACAGAGTTCTTGATACTTCCCTGAGAGTTTTATAAGCATTCTTTCAGCTGTCAAAAATCTTGGAAGGAAAATCAAAAACTCATATATTTATCATCAAAACCCTACCAGGAAGCCATGGAATGCAGTTTTTTTTATCAACAAACCATCACAGCAGATCGCAATGAAACTCTCCAATCCCACACGTCACATCAACACTAATCTAATAATAATGGAACAGAGAGACAAGATCTGAGCTTTTGCCTAAAAATGATATTTTTAACTAAATAAAGAAATAGTTGGAGTATACACTTTTGCTGGATTTCTTTTTCACTGAAGGACAGAAAGGTTCGACTTCGTGTGAGCCATGGGCATGGACATATGGAATCAGAACAACAACTTGCAAGACAGGAAACAAGTGAGCAGAATTATTTAATAACCTTATCCACTGCACCAGTATTTAATTTACTGCAAGGAAAACCAAATTATATGAAATATTGCTTTCTCTTATTTTGTTAGACCGGTTTAGTTTGTTCAATTCTTTTTCAGATCTGCCTATTGTTTGATCAGCTGTGAATCCTGTGATTTGATATTAGAGAGAAGGAGCAATTAGACCACCAAAGTAAACCTCTAAAAGCAAATAAGACATTAAGTTAATTTTAGGAGCAATTAGACCACTAAGGTAAACCACTAAGAGCAAATAAGACATTGAGCTACTTTATGGGACAAAAAACACACTTAGGATGTTTTAATTGGATTGTTTTCGGTCCTAGACCAATTCAGACCAGATCAGACTATGATAGTTATAAAAAGACCAGACGTTTACCAGATCATTTTAGATCATACCAGACTAGACCAGACCAGCAAATTTCAGTTCAAGTAAAAACATTCTTAGACATGGTTTTATTATCATTTACACCATTCATTAACATTCTTAGGCATGGTTTTATTAATTTTCTCCACTTTGACGCTAAAATTTAAAAAAATACGGGGACCAATGTAGAAAAATGAAAAACAGCTCTTCCTCGTCAGTTCTATCCACACCAAATTGGAAGTAAGAATCATTCCAATGTGCATTATATTACTATAGGTAAGTGATAATTTCATATCTAGCTTCAATTCAATTTCACATGAAATTTAATTGGATACGGTAATCTCCAACAGTTTACACCACTTTGTATACTAAAATGATGTAAACATCGCATTCTCCAACAGTTTACACCATTTTCGTCACCAAAAAAGAATATTCCCTTTTATTCTTTTTATTAACTTTTTACCATTCTTCTATTTAAGTATCTAATTATCATATATTTATACATTAGCACCTCATTTATTATTTTGACATTTCACACATTATTTCACACTTACAAACTAAAATACACCATTTTAATATGTATTTTCAAGCATTTCACTAATTAAAATACAATAATCAATATTTCACAAATACAAGCTAAAACCACATAAAATTAAATATTACAATTGATGGATTGTGTACCCGAGGGTAGCTTATCCGATGGGTTATTACGGGGAGTGATAAGAGAGAAGTCAGAGCAAGCAAGTATAGAGAGAGAAAGTATATTATAAAGTGTGGAGCGTTTTCAGCGTGGTTACAAATGGGGAAATGGGGTGCTATTTATAGTAGCAATAAATGCCGGACAGGGACACGTGTCAAGCGTTCATTGGCCGAGAGGTCACCTCAACTGGTTGGCGCTGGCAACCGCATGTGGCCGCATTTAATGCGGCTGTTGGATGGGACGTTGTACAGGGTACGGTGATCTGTACGCATGTGGCGCAGATATCATGTCGGAAGAGGTGCCCTCGGCTGTAGAGGACTGGCCGAGGGCTCTGAGTACTGGGGACCCCCTTGGTGCCGAGGGCTCCAGGTGCCGAGGGCTACTGCTTTCCGTCGTTTTCCCAGTAGCCTTGTTTTTGATGTGTTGGCCCTCCTGTGAGAGTTAGAGCCCTCGGCCAGGGAGGCGAAGGCACCCCTGGTGCGCATTGTGGGCTGCTTGGTACTCTAGGCGCTGTGATTTGGGCCTGTTGGGCCTTCTGGGCCTGTTGGGCCTTGATTGGAGTAGTAGGAGTCTGTGGGCCGGGGGTTCCCGGGCCATATACTCCATCAGGAGTCCCTCACTCCTTTTGCCGAAAGGTACTTGAGGGAAAAGGAGTAATAGTGTTTGTCCTCTGCCGTTGTTCCGTTTGTAGTTTGTAGAGTTGTGGGTAGTTTGCTGTTTGTTATTTCTGCCGAGGGCAGTCCCTCAGTTACCCACATGTCGGGACTTGAGGGGCCATATAATCCATCAGGAGTCCCTCACTCCTTCAGGGTCGAAAGGCCCCGGAGCCGATTGGATGGCCGAAAGAGGGGACAGCTATTATCAGGGGGGCGAGTTCTTCACCCAGCATCTGGTGTACCGGAGGCTCGCCAGGCACTTCAAGGTCCCTCTCGAGGAATTCGACCCCTCGGCTTACGGCCTTCCTGCCTTGCAGCCGGATGTGAGAAACCCCCTCCCCCCGGGCGAAGAAAGGCCAGTGATCCATGACTCCATGATGATGGGGGGATCCGGCGATGGTGAGACCGAGGACGCCATCGAGGAGGAGGTCACCTCGAAGCCCGCCGAGGGGGCAGCAGCTTGAAGAAGATACCTGTAGTTGAATAGTTTCTTGAACATTTATTTGTTTGTAATGTTTGTGTACTTTCGGCTTCGGCCATGTTGTAACATATACATTTGAATCCCTTCCTTTTGATGAATGAATGATTGCCTTCGGGCTTTGTCTATATAACATGCTTCCCTTTAATTCGTTTCTTCTCGGATGTATGTCGTCGTTTTCTTTTGAATGTATGCCTTCGCCCTTCTTTGAATGTATGCCTTCGCTTTCCTGAATGTATGTTTAGGACTTAGAATATGAGTTCCAAGTGTAGTGCTTCTTGTAGCCCTCGGCTACTAGTAATCTTTCGTCAGTTGAACCTTTCACCGAAGGCAAAATGTTCAGGACTTAGAAATATTTCTAAGTGTTAGTTCTTTTGTTGGCCCCCGGCTGATCCTTCCCCCCGGTTCTATGTAGCCTTTATGAGATGACCGGAGGTGAGGTGCTTAGGACTTAGAAAATTTTTCTAAGTGTTTGAATACAGTTGTAGCCTTCGGTAGTTGGGCACCATTCGCTGGATATATAACCGAGGGCCCAGCAATGGTTAGGACTTAGAAAATGTTTCTAAGTGTAGTCTCACCAATCCTTCAATCGTGTGACCCCTCGGGCTGCCGGGAGATTCGAGACTTGGAAACCTGTCACCGAGGATAAGGCTTTTGGGACTTAGAAATTTTTCTAAGTGTAGCATGTATGAAGTAGGAGCCCTCGGGCAGCATGGAGATTTGACCGAGGGTCAAAGTATGTAGGGCTTAGAAAAAATTTCTAAGTATAGCTTCACCAAGTCTTCAACCGCATGGCCCCTCGGGCGGCATGGAGAGTTGACCGAGGGCCAAAATATGCAGGACTTAGGAAATTTTCCTAAGTGCAGTACGTGTGAAGTTAGAACCCTCGGGTGACTGTGAGGTGTTTGTGGTACGCCCTCGGCTGGCTGATGGCTCATCAAGGGGTAAAGCATTTAGGACTTCGTTTTTTTTTTTAGTATTTCCTGCTGCTGGCCTTCGGGGGAGGACCCTTCGGTTGTAGGCATTGTATGTTTAGGATAGTTTCCCTTGCCTTGTGATGTTGGCCTGTGGCAATAAAAGCCTTCGGTTGTTTGTCATATGGTGCCCTTCGGGGATTTTTGAGAACATTGTGCCTTCGGTTTTAGGTATAGCCGGAGGCAATCCTTGAGTGGACTTAGCCATTCGTTGATGATGTCTGTTGTGAATGGCGTCCCTTGTACTTGTGACCTTCCAAGGTACCGAAGGTGTTCCCGTGGGGAGCCCTCGGTACGTTTTTGTAAATTGCCGGAGTAATGTACTCATTGATTTCTCGCCGAGTCTACTCCCCTTCACCACCCCATTTTTTTTCTTTTTTTTTGGTAGTGAAGGGAAGGCATCAAGAAACTTGGTTTCTTGGTAAGGCTTGGCCTATTGGGAGGTAACAGAATACACCATTAGCTCCCCCCTCGGGTTAACCTTCCGAGTTCCGAGGGGATCGAGGGTCGTTTCCTGGGCACAAGATATGGTGGTCTGTAACCTGCCTCCCCTTGGGGGATGGCACGGAAAGTGCCTCAGTTTTGAAAGTCGTCCCCTCGGCGCTAGACATAGTCTGTGGCCTGCCACACCCTTGGGGTGGTGGCGCGGGGAGCATTTCGATTTGGAAGTCGAATCCTGGGCATTTCTCGTGCCTGGCATACCCTTGGGGTGATGACGCGGAAAGCGTTCCGTTTTTGAAAGTCGAATCCTAGGCATTTCTCATGCCTGTCATACCCTTGGGGTGATGACGCGGAAAGCGTTTCAGGGAAGGGTTTTCATTTGCACACTAGTTGCAAATGGCCGGGTGCACTACGTGCTGCCGGCACCGATAGGTGGTGCCTTCGGTATAGGCGTCCTCGAGGGGTACGGCTTAGAAACAACACTTGGTGTTTGTTCCGATGTATGGCCCCCGGCACTTAGTACCGAGGGGTCTTCTGTAAAAACACTTGGTGTTTTTCCTCCACTTGTCGTAGGGGATTGCGGTGTCTACCCTTGGTACTTGGTACCGAGGGGTCTTCTGTGAAAACACTTGGTGTTTCCTCCCATTTGTTGAAGGTGATTGTCTTGTCTACCCTCGGTATTGGGTACCGAGGGGTCTTCTGTGGGAACACTTGGTGTTTCCTCCCATTGGTGGAGAGTTGATAATGGTGTACCCCCCGGCACCAGGTGCCGAGGGGTCTTCTTTTGAGGACGAGTGGTACTTTGTTGTAGGTGATAGTATTGTCTACCCTCGGCACTTGGTGAAGAGGGTTCTTCTATTGTGGGGAGGCCTTGGGCCTGAGGGTGACATGAGGGCTTGGCCCTTGTGGTAATCTTGTTCCGTGTTCTCGGTGTCTTCAAAATGCCTTCATTCTTCAGAATTCTTAGGCCTTGGGCCGTAAAATAATACATTCACTAGTTATGAGGGCTTGGCCGCTCTAATGCTATTGATAAAATTTAACTAAGTGATGTACATTCCAGTGCCTAGGGACTTCAGTCCCGTCAGGGCGTTTTAGTTTGTAAGTTCCTGGTTTGATGATGGCTGCCACGATGTAGGGGCCCTCGAACTTGGGTGCCATCTTTCCACCCTCGGTTGGTTGGCTAGCTTCCCTTCTTCGGAGAACATAGTCCCCCACTTGGAATTCCCGGGAGCGAACCTTGGCGTCAATGTAACTTTTCACCTGCCTTCGGTAGTTCTCTGCGCGTATGAAGGCTTGCTCTCGGCGTTCTGAAATAAGGTGGAGGTCGAGGGCCATATTGGTGTCGTTGGCCTCTGGATCATACTGTGTGACCCTTCGGGTTGGAGAGTCACCTCAGTGGGGGCTTTGGCTTCAAATCCGTAGCAAAGGGAGAAGGGTGTCTCGCCAGGTGCCCGTCGAGGGGTGGTACGATATGCCCATAAGATGTTGTGGAGCTCTTCTACCCAACCACCCCCTTCGGCCTCCAGCTTCTTCTTTAGGCCCTCGA